GGCTCTCCAAAAAATCATGAAAAAGTTAGCCTGGAAAGCATTTTTTAAAGAGAAATTAGCAAGGCAGAGAAGTAGTAGGGCATATCGGTTGCAAAGTCTACCTAGAAATGAAAATGGCGTCACAATTTCGAATCTAATGCGGTAAATAGAAGGGACAAAAAGCGAATCGAATTTTGGTTTCTCAAAAATTTTGCTGCAACAGAAAAATCTCATAACACTACACTAGACGACGTGTTTTTTAGAAATTTCTATATTCCTTTTTTTCGAGATTGTTAATACGTATATATTATCAAAACAGTATTTCTGTTCAAATGAAAAAGCAAAGCACAACCAAAAGTTTCGATTTCGAAAAGGTTAAACTTTTCTTTTACATACTAATGATATTGCGAGGCAAGACGCACACAATCAAATTTATAACAATGAAAATCTTTTTTCATTCCTTTGGTTTAGTTTTCATGTTAACATTACAACTCAATATAGTGAATCAACGAAAAATTTTCCTCACTCTAATGACATAAGGATATTATAATATAGATGACTAAATTATAGTAAAAATAATAGATTCAGCCTATTTGTGTAGCTCAATGATTCTTCGCAAGGTATTTCGAAAAAAGCAGCCGAACAATCACTTCCAGCTATAACATCATTTGAAACTTCTTAGGGTAAACTATACAGCAGCAGGGTATTCAATAGTATAGCATTGATACTCTGAATTCAAGTCATTTAATAAAGTAGATCTCAATAGAAAAGAATTTTCACTTTCAACGATTCTTATTCAGTTGATATTTACTTTTGTTTTACGATTTTGGTCCCATCTCAGAGGAGAAGAAATTGAAAACTTCGAATACTAATTCAATTTTCAGTTGCACGATTTTTTTTAGAACCATCAGGTTCCAGATGACGGTGGAACGCATATTTAACCAATATGCGATGGTTAGATAGAAGTCAACTGACTTTTCGGCTTTGTAGTGCTTCTATATGGGGACTTAAGAAGACGTTAAAACAACAAAGATTCTTCGAATATTTTATGAAACATGACAAGCCGCTGTATCCATAATGAAAATCCTTGATATTATCCGTTTTAGATGTTTAACGGATCCTGTAAGGTTCCTTCAAGCATTCGCTCTTTTTTTCTGAGACAACAGTTCAATACGATCCTGACCAAAAGATGTTCAACGGCTGTGATTCATTACTTGGATAAAATGAGCACAAGAAAAGGAAAATGAGTCTCAGCTGAATGTGAACCTAGTTAGTATCACAACTGATAGTTAGTCAGACACCTTAACCAACAAAGCTATCGAGACACAGTTTAAACTAAAATTCAAATTCAATGTGAACACGTATTTTAATTTTTTCCTTTGAAGAGTAGTAGTCGCCCTACCATCTTTTATTCGAAATAAAGATTAATAATGTCCTGTCATATACATTTATATATTTTTATACATGATTCATTTCAACACTAATCCAGATGTCCTAAAGTGCCATGAACGATCTATACAGCCCCGTACAGTGTCTATGTTTCAGACTCTTGTTCAAGTTCTAGCAGATTACGTTTTTAGCTCTCTGTTGAAGATCACAAAGTAGCAAACGGCATCCTCGAGTTATCGTTGAAGAGCTATGAACTTTCGCTCTGGGTTTGTGTTTTATAGAACCTACATCTACTATAATAAGAATCGCACTTGATAAATGACAGATTCTACAATGGCCTAACCATTCCAAAGTTTTATACCAAAAATAGGACCAATACACGTCTTACTAAGAATTTTAGTCTAGATAATCTTCTGATAAACCAGACGCTATGACCATCTATCTCTTTTGATTTCTTCCCTTTATTTTTTAAATTTATTTAAAATATCTATTGTTATTGACACTAGGACGTCAAATATAGGATACTTTTATGATCATTTTTTTACTGCTTTTTTTTACTCAATATTTTTATTGTCATCAGTGATTCTAAAAAAATATGCAATAAAACTATTAGTAAGAATTAATTGAGCATTTTCATTTTAGACTGATTTCGTCAGAGATGGAATCAGTAACAGTGTGAATTTCACACTAGGTGATCTCATGTACTCATTTCGCTAACAGACACAGGTCGTCAAATGTCTAGGCTGATCCAATATCTCTGACAGGGAGAATCCCTCATTAGCTCTGAAAAGAACTAAATTTTCGCTTTTAAGTTACATGCGAAAGAGTGTGGCAACCTCTTAAAAGAAAAAAGTACCAACCGCAGACAGTTTTAAAAAGAATATAGCTTTGTTGCTACGCCAAGCCTAAGAAGCTAGTCGTAAAGATTTGAAAACATTCAAGACGTTAATAGTAGCACAATCGAGATGCGCTCAAATAATTACACGTATTACACATGAAAAGACTTCTAAGGTAATCGATAGCCTTATCTTCAGCATGAGGGCCACTGGTGTGTATGCTGCAGTAGAAACATTAAGTGAGAACATGAGGATAACAGCTTACGTAAGAGTGTTGCCACCATCTTCATCCACAGTTCATTCACATTGAGAACTTTACTCTTGTCGTAATCCACGCCTTACATCCTTAGCAAATATGTATCGGAACTAAATTTTCCTTTTATAGATTTGATCAAATTACGGTTTCGAACAAATATCCGGTAGAAAAGATATTTAGTTCGAAGAAAAGCATGTGGAATAAAGAAGAAGTTGCGTTATTCAGTTTCAAATACGTACGTAATTGATATGTATATATGTTGTCGCTTAAAATCAAAATGAGTCAAACGTTTTTTTTTTGTGCCAAAAGAAAAGATGTTTTTATTCGCAACTTTTTTCTTTTCTGTGCAATTAATATCTCAGTTATTTTAAGAGTAGAGAGGAATGGAAAAAAAATCACCATCTCATCATATGACATGCAATAGTAATTTCGTTAAGGAAAGAAGTTATATTGGTGATCTAAATTTTCTTTTTTCTTTGCAGTGTATCATTCAGAAGAGAATTCAAGATAAGACTAATCAAACCCATTTTGATTACATGAGTGAGATTTTGAATATCATCCTCATTGATACCCAATTCATATTGACAACGTCACTTTAGTCGTCATCACACGCTAGCATCTTTAGTCAACCTACACCGAACATAAATTTCTCTCTTATAAGTTGGATTAAATTACGATAAGGATAAATATTTGACAAGCAGAATATGAATTTTGAAAGAAAGCATACTGAGAAAAGAAAAAAAAGATTGTTCTTCTGTTTCAAATACACATTAGCTGATATATGTATATATCGTTGTTAAAAACAAAAACGAAACGTATGTCTATTTTTGTACAGAAGGAGAAACTTTTTGTCTCAGTGTTTTCTCAATTTGTATAAATTAAGATCTAAGTTACTGTAAGAATAGAAAAGAATAAAAAAAGGTTTCGTCTCTGCGAACGATATTCAATAGTTATTTCTTTAAGGAAGAAGTTATATACGTCATCTGAATCATCTGTTTTCTCTATGCTTTATGATTCAGAAGAAATTTCATCACAAGACTGATCAATTACACTCCACCTACACCCTCATCTTATCTATAGAAGCTGATAGTGAGAAACGCACCTGCCATTGGTCGACTCAATGACACAATTTTTGCCTGAGAAACAGTTTATCATAAGAAATGGCAGCTTCAAAGTTAGAATCGGTTGAAATTGTTGGCTTAGACAGCAAAAAGCTGGTGAAAACCATTGGAAAGTCGGTCGGTTGAATTAGAAGACTCCACAGGCGAAAAAACTATCCCGTTTAATATATAAATTAATTCATTAGTTCTTTTAAGAAACACTCTACTATGCAGCCATACAAAGACATACAATGTGTAACTCTTGAAGTTTCTAATCGTAACAACTTCTATTATAGTCTATAGTGTTTCAATTATGCTGATACTAAAAACCAATGAAGAGCTCTTTCGAAACTTTTGGTCTAATGGTTGGTAACAAGTGATATTGAACAATCTTTAAGCTTTGTTTTGCCTGACTTTATTCAATAAAAATATAATTCCTTTATAATGATTATTAAGTTTAATGTTTGTTCTTTTGAAATCTTTATGTATCACATTTGCAAAGCTTTTCAATTTTCATAATTCTAACTTTCATGAATGCTACATATTGTGAATTACCTTTGATATATTCTATGCTCATAAAATTTTACACGATCTGTATCTAAAGTTATTCATGCGGCGAATATGGAGACAAAGTCTATTCACTATAAAACTGTCTTGGAAACTTTTACTGTTCTATTCACTATTGGCAAAGTGTTGTTAGTGAACACGTTTCATTATTTCCAAATAAATTTATAAAATATATTTCTGATCATGACATCATATAGATAATTGCTTTCAACCTTGTATACCTGAATGGCATTATTTTTATTTCACGTTATCTTAATTAAAATATACATCCCTGAACAAAAGTCTTCCTTCTCTCTCTCTCTCTCGCCATCTCTTTTGTTTTGAACCTCTCTGGTTTCAAGTGAAATTCAGTGACAAGGATGGCTTAAATACTTTATTGTAGTAAAGTGTATGATTGATGACAATTTACTTCAATGAAGAATACATATCTTTCAATAGAATTGCGCAACACTACAGATGAGTTGACTTACAGAATATTTCACAATTAGATTATTTCTTTTTTTGCATCTGCTAACTGCTTTGACTGATTAAACTGTCTTTGTCGTTGACACGAAACTCTTTTGAGAATGTGAAATATTAGATTTACAAATATAGATAAAGTAAAACTAGTAAAACATTCAGAGAATATCAAAAAAAGAGATAATTTAGTTATAGAGGTATTTTTATCAACCAACTGATTTGTAGTGTTAGCTGATTGTATTGAATGACGTATATTTTTCATTGAGGTAGGTTGTAATCAATTATACAACACACTAGAATACATTCATTTAATCCTGAGATGCCGGAAAAGACTTTTGTCTTGAGAAGTATATGAGATTATTATGAATATGAATACAAATGAAAATTCAAGAAAAAAAACCAATGAAAGTTTACTTATTGGGGACGAATAATTTTTAAACGTTCATGTGAAACATCATGTAAACAAAGAAATTCACATTTTTCACATAAATTTATTTTACATGTCATGCATTGATAACGTATACCAATGATAGGTGATATAGAACATGATGAGCACTGACTATTCACGTGAATCAGTTCACTCATGTTCTGAATATAAATTGATGATGCATATAGACTTGAATCATGAATACATATTAATGGGTGTTTTGAATCATGTTGATGATTTGTGGATGATTGACAATTTTGACAAAAATCTACGTTTGGACAAAACAAACATTTATATCTATCACCAACTATTGGTGACATAAAACATTTATCACATGTTATATTGGTATGTTGAATAATAGATTGTGTTTGTTGTTTACCAGTAATTAATAGATTTTGAAGACGATGACATTCATCTTTACTTTGTTGTAATTCAGCTTTCAGTTTTTCTAAATTAGAATCACCAAATTCAACATGACCAACATCAATTGTTTGATTTAAATTAGTTAATCGCACGGTTTGAATATGTTTTTCTTCATTTATTGAACCAAAATATTTATAAATATAAACTAACACCGTTGTAACACCTGTAAGTGTATGTTGAGCATTATTTAAATATGTTAAACTAATGGAATATATTCCATTAACTGCTTTACGAAGTAAATATTCCATTGGTTGATCAGATCGAAAATGATGATTTGTCATGCACCCACCAATATCTGTTCGATATGAACCATAACTATCACATACTTGACCAGTTGGTTCTTTAATTGAAAGTGTAATTAATGTATCAGCTGTATCCCATTGAACAACAATTCGAATATCAACAGGTAAATGTCGTATGAGTCGACTATCAATTTCAGGCGCCGTTTTATTCATTAAAACTAAAAGTCGATTTAAATCAAGTAAAACACTTGTTTGAATTGTTTGAAATCTTTCATCCCATATTTGATTGAGAATTTGTTTAAAATATTGTAATGCTTCTTCATATTGACCAAGTTCAACAAGAACAATAGCTAAATCACGTAATGATTGTGGTTCATCAGAACGTAAAGAATATATTTTTCGAAAAACACTTAAAGCAAGATTCCATTGTTTTAATTCAATTAATTTATATCCAACAGTTCGATATAATTGTGGTGCTTCTAATTCTAATTCTAAAATATTTGTTAATATACGTAAACCATATTCAATTGATTTCTTATCTACTGCTTGAATATTTGCTTGTTGTTGATTAAATTTATCTAATACAGATGAAAATGATATTGGTGAAAAAAAATAACATGCAACATCAAAATAAAATGAAGGTGATTGACGATTTAATACTCGTTCATTAAGATAAATTGAATATGCATTTGTTCTATTATTTGAAGAAGATATTCGTGTTGTGTATGACAATTGAGGATTGTATTCATTAAGAACAATTGTTGATGTTTCTTCTGTTTTAGTCGAGAATGATTCTTTTGATACATTTGTTGTAGTATTTACTACTTGTGATGATGGAGTAGAAAAAGCAAATCCTGTGAACGCTGATGAAGGAGAAGAGCCAAACCCTGAGAAAGTTGATGAAACAGAATTTGATGTAGGAGCTACGGTATTGAATTGAAAAGTTGTAGGAGTGCTCGATGGAAAAGATAGCATTGTAGTTGGAGCACCAGTTGGAGCACTTGTAACAGAAAACATAGGAGTCGATGTAGTAGTGCCAAAAGGTGCAGGTGTTAGCATGCCAAAACCGAATCCTTGTTGTACTTTTGGTAAATATGCTCGATGACGATCAATATCAGTAATAACTCGATCGTACCATTGACATGTTTGATTCCATTTTTGTATTAATTCAGATATATTATTTGTTTTTTTATTATTTTCTATCGTTTGACGTTGTATATATTGATTATAAAGTAATGTGCGTGATTTAGCTGGACATACACGATATTGAAGATGTTGTTGAAGTGTTTCAAGTACTAATAATGATGTAAATTGACTAACTAATGAATATTCTAATCCAAGTGTTAATATATCAGATTTATATTTATCTTTAAATGCGTTTAATTCATTTAATTTTTGTTGTGCCCATAAACGACGAATTAAACCAAAAGAGTTACGTTCAGTGAATGTCATATCAAGTGTAATTGGTAAACTGGATGTTTGATTATTCATTGAAAATTCAAGTTCAAATTGAATAGAATTTGGTAATGGCATTGGAATTTGTCCCACCAAGAGAAATCGATCCAAATTTAATGGAATTGATATTGAATTGCTTGGATATATTTGTTTTACAGTTGAAGTTGAGTGAAATTTCACATATTTAATTTGAATAGTTTCAATAATATTTATTAAATCTTGTGGATTTAATTCTAATTTGTCACGATTTACATAACCTCCACCATATTTATTATATTGAGTTAAATAACGAATAAAATCAATATCATAGGGTTCATGAAGATAATTACCATTAAATATCCATATAGGTGCTTTAAAATTTGAATATAAATTTTCTATAAATGAATCATTATTTATTGTTGATATACAATCACTAAAAAGAAAATAATAATCAATTGATTGTATTAAATTAATTGATGATAATTGTGATAAATTTGTTGCACCATCATATGGTAAATCTTGAAAAATTTCTATAAATTTATTCCAATTAGTAACTTGAAGTTGAAATAATATTTGTTTATCCATATCATTTCGAAATATAATAATTATTATTTCAATTTGAGTATAACGTGTTAACCATATACTAAAGATTTTTTTTAATGCATCTAATTCTAATGTTCGATTTTCTTTTGAATTTGAACGACTTAAACTTGCGTCCCATAGAATACAAATTCTTTTCGATGGCATATCAAGTTGATCAGTTCTATGTTGATTCGGTGTTGGTAAAGCACAACTAATAGCAAAATATGCACCAACATTTGAATCCTTTTCAATAGCACTTATGACTGGTTTAAGAGAATCAGATAATATATATGAAAGTGTTTGTTCATTATTAAGAGATGGTTCAACATTAGTTGAATGCCATTCAGCAGTATATTGTCCATTTCCATTATCAAGAAATTGTAGATAATTATTTATTGCTTGTTTAGAATCTATCAAAAAGTTTGGTTTTGTTATTGCTTGACCAAAACATGTAAGAACAATATCTAAACTTTCAAGACGAGTTTGAAATTGAATTGGTATTTGATACAGAAAACCATTCTTATTATTATCTGTTATTGCCTGATCTTGATAAATAACACGAACAGTACGTGTTTTTTGTGGCTCAATTGGATAAACACGAGTACGAAATACATTGCCTGTAACTAATTCAACAAAACCTGGGTCAATTCTTTTTCGTACTTCTTTTTCGAATATTATACGAGCAGCTTGTTTTTCAACGACTACTCCATCAACAATAACGCCATCAACATCAAGACCTAATTGAATAGAAAAAAAGAATTACTTTAGGAAGAAAAAAACAAATAAACAAAAACTAATTTACCATAACCACAAATAGTCGCTTTTTCTGGTAATGTAAATTCGAAAGCACCTTCAAGAATCATATTATGTGTGTTTTTAAATGTCATTGTTGTAGCTATTTGATGAATAAATGGAAAATCTCCATTAACTTTTTGTTCAATACGTAAACGAACAAGTTGAAGAGGTGTTGATGCTCCATCACTTAATTTATCTGGATGACGACGACCAAATATCATAGGAAATATAGTACGAGTTGATGTTGTTGCCATAATTTATTACACGCAAAAAGACTTCAACTTTTTCGAGTTCTGTATTTCACTCTGCCTTATATGCGAGCGGACAATAAAAATAAAAACAAATGACTCATAAAAAAAACTTACAGTAGATGGTGAAAGTATGACGCAGAAAGATTTCGTTGTTACTCAAAGTATTAATAATATTTGTTTGTTTGCAAATAACGATAGACTATTGTGCAAGATAAATTAACATCAATAATAAATTGGAATTTGATCGATAATGAAAAATATTAATTTTCTAGTAATCCTTGATTCAATAATTAACATACAAAAAAAAGGAGGACGGTAGAAAAAAGTTTAACGATAGTGTATTTTATCATATTTTCCTTGTCGATAATGTTAAGCAAGTAGGTCAAATTCAAATTGTAATTTTAATATCCAATATGGTTTTATTATCTATTACAGTCTATGTTAAGATTTCATAGATGAATTATAATGATAGGGTTTCTAAAAAGAAAACACACACGGTATTTTTCAGATCTTAAAAAATTTCGTCGGAATTACGCCATTTTAAAAAGAACAAAACAAGTGATCGCCAGATTTTCTATGAATTTCCGCTAAAAAGTTAAAACTATCACAAAAACCGTAAAAAAGGACATTTTTTTAGTCTTTTTTTTTGATGAACTTTGTTCGTTTTAAGATTTTTGTGATATTTTTAATCCTTTGCGAGAAGGTTGTAGAAAATGTGGCGACTCCTCATTTTGTTCAGAACTTTAGGCCTTTAAAATGGCATAGCTCCGACATATTTTTCAAATACCTTATCATTGCTATACCCGGGATTTTTTTAGAAACTTTGCTACCATAGTTCATCTAGTAAATCTTACGTTGGAAAGTATGCGCTAGAAAACTGTATTGACTATTAAAATCACTATTTAGATTTAAGCTAACTGGTTAAAATTATCGAAAAACAAAATTTTAAAAAAAATAGGTCATGGTCGGCTCGTAATCGACGTGCTTCACTTTAGTATATTATAATATCTATACAATGTCCTTACACACAGTCACACATACACATTTATATAAATATATTGAAGAATAAGAAGAGAAGAAAAAGAAACACCCATTAACAATAAAAGAAAAGTGAGAGAAATATTGAATCGAGAGTTTCTAATGACGATAAAATGATCGCGAACAGTTATCGTTAAACTTTTTCTCATCAACTTATAATAGTATGTGTTCTCATATGACTTACGATAAATAATTTTTTTTTCAAAGTTCAACATCATTGTATTAAAACTTGAATCTCTCATGAAATATTGAAAAGAATATATTATTATGAAAATTTGTCCGAAAGTATTACACATTAATAAACCTTATAACTGATAACATACTTTATAACGTTTAAAGGGGACCCCCCTTTCCCGACCCAAAAAAAAAATTTTTTCGATTTTGAGGTTTTCATTTCTAAAGATGTATCGAAGTGTCCTCTATCAAGTGCCGTAAGAATTATAACAATGTCAAGCCGTATAAGCACTGAAAAAGCTTAGTTTCGAGAGCCCCTATCTTGAAAAAACGCGTATATTTTTTTAGATGGCAATTTTGTGAGTTTATATTGTTTGTTAAACTTTTTTTTTTATAGATTATCGATCATGATAAGCCTGTTCATGATGACCAGAGTTATATATTGTTTCGGTCTTGCGACAACCTCAGGCAGTTTCGAACATCAACCAACTTTCTCTAATAAAAAGTCGCTTCTTTCTGTTTCAGGTATCTTTTATCTTCTTGTTGATCTGTTCAATACAAATTCTGACAAAATAAGAAATGTTTCATTTTGCATGCATGGTCCATTGAACAAATTGACTAATGGATACATCAATTCCCGATTCAGGAGGCTTGTATTTGTCGAGTTCATTTGGGAACCGAAGTCTGATTAATTGAAGGATAACAGGAGGCAACAAATGTTGTTTTTTTTTTAGATCTTTTGGACAGAAGATTGTTGATTTCATTTATAAAAGCCACTCGCCGTTCGACATCAGTTATAGTCATAGGATAAAAAGATAACCTGTAATAATTCGAAATGAGCAAAAAAGAAAAACCATACATGCAAAAAAAGAATTTTTACTTTGTTTTGCGTTTTTCTCAAAATCTATTTTTTAACAAAAAAAACGAAGCTTTCCCCCCTTTTCTCCTACACGGTATGTCCGATCGAGCTCAAATTTTTTTATGAGTACTTTAATCAAATTGTGGTGCGTGTTTTTTTTTTTCTTAAAAATGTTGTTCCTACGAAACTTGGCAGCCCTTTAAAAATTAGTACTATTAAAAAAAACATGTTTTTTGAGGGTGCTTCGAGTATTTTGCTTCTCCTGAGCTCTAGGAACGATATTTTAAAAGAAAAAAAAACACGCACCCCAATTTGATCATAGTTGTCACAGAAAAAATTTCAGCTCGAAAAAATGAAGTATAGAGATTTGCGGGGGCGCGGGTGGGGACCTTCGAGCCATTTTTAGCCTTTGCGACCCCCATATCTTCCCGAAGGAAGCATCCAGGAATTTTGAGCCTATGACAACTTTTGCTCTACTCATCGAGATCTATCTGGCCTGAAAATTTCATAACTTTTCAATGAGCCGTTCACGAGAAACCCCGGAAAGGGGGGAGGTCCCCTTAAGTAAAACAGATATTTTCTTATTAAGATATTGATTTTTGTGTTGTAACAATTAATATCACGATATTGAAAGTATCATTCGGTATATTTATATTCTTAATTTTCGATCGAAATATAATTCTTATTTCCCTCAAAACTTGATAAGAAAGGCTTCATCTATCGGAGAATAATCATTACTTTAGTAATAATATCTTAAAATATTCTGAAAATATTATCTTACAAATTTTATTTTTTGCCATGATAAAAAATAAAAACTTAAAAATATACTTAGGGCATACCATAATTGATAAAACTGATATTATATCAAAATATAGAAAACTCGAGAAATAACTCTGTTCATATATGCATGTTGCACTTGAAGTGTTCAACATATCTCCAATATATTGTTGAATGAATAAAGAAAATTTTCGTTTCTACATTAAACTGAATACTGCATTTGACATTTAACTGATGTTAACATTTGATGAATTATATTCTGTTTTTAGCCATTACATTTTACCTTACAATACTGTTACTAGATGGTTAAAATTGTTTCGTGAAGATCGAGCAGAGATCAAAGATCAATGAAAACTTGGTCAACTTGTCAAACATCAATCGATAGAAGTCTATCTACTGTGGTTCAGTACAATGAATTTGCTTCAAAAATCCTGTTTTAAATCTTTTTTTCAGATTATCGATCTCATGCTAATCCATCATGTTGAACAAAATCAAACTATACACTGCCACTAATACATCTACAATCTCGTGAAATTTTTCATCTATGAAAGCCGAATAAAAAAATCAATATTGGATGTACATACCAAAAAACTTCAGCGCAACAATGCCCAAATTGTACGTGCATAAAGATATTTCGAACAATATCATAATTATTTGACAACCGCCAAATTCTCCTGACTAGGTACCGTTCGATTTTTGGTTATTCGCTCTGATCCAACAGAATCTAACTGATCAAATAAATGGCTTGAGCTAATGCAATTATGTATAAATAACTTGTTTTCTATTAAAAATTTCATTTCTTTTCGTATGTTCCAAGTAGTATCGTTTCAGTTTTAAATATCAAACATTTTCGAAATTCTATAAATACTATTTATTCACTATGTAACCCTATCATTATAATCAACAAATACATATCTATTCGTATGAAATAATTTTTTTCTTAAAGAATATCATAATATATAATCGTTCTCTTTTCATCCCTGGATACGCCACACACACACACACATATGTTCTATCTATATATAACTATCTATGAAAACAAACTAATCATCATATGTTCTTCATCGTCTTTCTTTACATTTCACAACAGAAGAAAAGTCCATGTGTGATTCAACTGGTATACATATAACTCGAATCTATGTAAATTGTACTAGAAAAACTCCTTCACCTATTCGTTCATCAAATACTGTTCCTGTATGTACATCAACACCAATAATCAATATAGATTCATCAAATGCAATATTAAAACAACAAATCGGTTTACTTGCTAAAGAAGTTATTGCATTAAAGCAACGTCCATCAGAAACTGAATCATTACAAGATGAACAATATGTATTTATTTCAAAAGAAACAGGTCAACAAATTGATTTATTAACAGGTGAAGGAATCAGTAAAATAACAAATTCGAATACAGGAACAATAAATAAAAAGAAAAAACGACGACAATCAACTGCTGTTTTACCAACAATATCAAGTGGTATGTTTTTATCAATTAAATATTTAATTTAATATATATACTCTTCTTTTTTTTTTCTTTTTTTTTGTTTGTTGAAGGTTCATCAAAATCAAGTGATGATGGAGATTATTCATCAGTACTTATGAATAGTGATATGCCAATATCAAATGAAAAGAAAAAAGCAAATTTTACTTCTTATGATGGCATACAAATGTTTACATTTACATTAGATGATGATTAGAATTCTAAAAAACTTTTCTTTTTATTTCCAATTTCTTTTTTTTTTCTTTTAAATGAATAAAATCTAATAAATAAAAACACAATGTATATTTTTTTTTATTTCCCCAAACGAAAAGAAAAAGAAAAAAAAAAAGAAACATGAACAGATTGTCAATCACACAAACAAACAAACAACAACAACAAAATAAGATTATTAATATGTCTGTACAACAAACAAACAAAAAAAAAAGAAAGAAAAAAAGAAAATCTATCAAAATGATAGTACACATTGAATAGTCACTGTTTTTTTTTTGTTTTTTGTTATTGTTAATTTGTCTCTTTATTGAAGAATATCAATCACAAAAAGAAAAAAAAACAAAGAAAAATTTGAGAAGACTAGATCTGAACATTGAATTTGATTTTTATTGTTGTTGTTGTTGATGTTTTTCTTTTTTCTTTGTTTATTCACTTAATAAACGTTGTTTAAGTACACGACCACGTTTTGATACTCGTGTTGCTTGAGTAGTACGTGGTCGTCGGCGATTTTCATCTTCTTCTTCATCTTGTTCTTCATCAGATAAATCTTCAGCAAATGAAGATTTTCGATTTACTGTTACACGTCGTCGTGTACGAGTTCGAGTTTTATATGTTATATTTACATTTGAATCTGTTGAATCAGATTCTGATGATGTACGTGTACGAACAATTGAACGTTTTCGTTTATTATTTTGATTTGGTAATGGTGGTGATGGACGATTTGTTGTACTACGTAATTTACGTACTCGATTACCATTTGTAGTTGTACGACGATGTTGACTTGGTTCATTCAATTGATAATCCGAATCCGAATCATCATCATCATCTTTTTGACGTGGAGATATTAAATCATTATGTTCTTCGTCTTCATCTTCATCATCATGAGATACTGGTGGTTCATAATCTTCATCATCATTTTTCTCTAGAAAAAAAAATTATTATTATTAAATTCAATTCGAAATAATATTTTTTCATTGAATATAAATTAAAATTATATATGATTAGGAAATTCTCGAACAAGATAAGTTTTAAAGTAGAATGCTTATCAGTTAGATGTATGTTTACAATGGATTTTTTTAAAGATTGTGTACAATTTATTGACGAAAAAAATATTCAGTTAACTGAAACTTTTGAAAAGGATTCGAATTTATCATAAATCGTGGAGAAGTAAGTGGGTTACAAAACGATAGACTCATTCATAATCGCTTATTACTTCATAGGTAGTTACAAAATGGAAAAAATGACGCTTATTATTTTTTTTCTATTTCTTGACTTATGAATAATATATGTTAGGTTTTTGCCATAAAATAAAAAATATATCATGCTAATCGAAGTCTTCTGAGACATTTTTTTGACCTTCTAACAATCAATCGATATTTGTGAGTCTAGCTCTATCATATAAATTTTTGTAGAAAAATTAGATTTTAATCATATAAAATTTAATATTTTTTAGAGTATGATAATGAATTGAATCTTGTCTTAATATTACAGTTGAGATGTTTATGAAAAGTTTTAATAATTTTGATAAAAAGAAAAACGTATATTTTAATTATTATGCTGAAATTTCTGTCGAATTTCTTATTTTTTATTAAAATGTTAAAAATATTTTTACCTTTTGATTTATCATTATCTTTTTCCATTGGTTCAGTATCTTCTTGATTATCATTTGTTGTATTTGTTTTAGTCATTTTTTGTTGATTATTATTATTATTATTATTATTATTATTATTATTATCATCATCATCATCATCATCTTCATGTTCATCACTGTCTATTTTATAATTAGGTCGATTAATTGAAGTTATTCTTCTATCACTACGTTCAATACGATTTCTTTTACTATTCGATGATATATCATTATCATTATCATCATCAGATGCTGATAAATTTTGTTGTTGTGAACGATTATCATAATCATCATTATGATTTCTATTTGAAGCTGTTGATCTTGTACTATATCGTGTTCGTGTTTGCCATGTACTATTATTTCCATTCGTAGTCATACGTTGTCGTGTTTGACGTAATGATAAATTAGCACCGGTATTATGATCATTGGTTGTTGTGGGAATAAATGATGTTAACGATATGGGTTGAGTACTTTGTGTTGATACTGATTCATTATCATCCATGTCATCATCGTCAGAATTTTGTTGTTGGGATGTTACTGAATGATTATTTATTGTGGATAAACGATTAAAATGAGAATGACGACGATCAGTTGTTAGAGTTGTTGGAGAAACTAAAAAGTAAAAAGTTTAATTTTCAAAAAAAAAAGACAAAAAACATATTTATTTGAATTACATTGTGTTCGTCGATTTTGTCGACTACTTGAGCTTGTTGTCGTCGTTGTTGTTGCTGTTGTTATTGCTGTTGTTGTTGTTGCTGTTGTTGTTGTTGCTGGTGCATCACCTGTTGTATAAATATTATTTTCATCCGTTGATGAGTTTTGTAAATCTCTATAAAAATAAGAAGAAATCTGTTAATACAATCCTACGAAATTAAAAATATAATTGATCTTGCTAATCACAATGAGTTCATTTCATTCTGGGACATATTTTTTTCACCATGCTTTTATACAATCCTTCAGAAATGAAATAAGGAAATAATTCATATATTATAAGAAGACCTTATTCATATACAGTCTTAGGAAGTTCAAATTTTGATTTCTATACGTCAACTAGACAGCTTCGGATTCACATCTTCCTAACTTCAACACTGCTTTTAGATCATATTTCATAAAAATATGTTTTAAAAATGAATCAAATACCGTCGTCGCGTTGTCATTTCAGTATTATATTGATGATTTGTTCGACGTTGTCGACGATCAAATATAGCAACACGTCGATCAAACCATGGTCCCAAATGTCTGACAACATTAATCATCTATTGAAAAAAGAATTTATTAGATAAAAAAAAAACGAAAAGAATAACTATTTTTCGATTTATTTTACCTCTGGATCAGCATATGTTAAAGCATTTTGAAATATTAAATGACAATCAGCAATAAATTCTCTTGAATGTCTATATCCACAAGGTGTTTGATTAAGTTTTGCTTGTATATCATCAAAACAAATTGGTGTTTTTATTATTCTTTCATAATCCTTTAAGCAAAGAAAAAACCAATTTAAATTATTAAAAAAATTATTTTCATAAAATCTATTCATACGGGATATTCATTTTCATCAATTGGATAACGTAATAAATCACTTCCAGGTTGAGATAATATATCATTAAGTATTGTTTGACAATCATCAAGCCATTCTTCATTCTAAATCAAAATGAGAATATAATAAATTTATTTTTTTTATTTTTCTAAATTAAAATAAAATACAAACCCATGATGATGAAATAGGTAATGAAATTTGTTCTGAATGTAATGCACGTTGATAGATTAAATTTATATCATTACAATTATAATCACTAAAAGAAGATATATATATATATATATTATTATTTTAACATAAAAAGAAGAAGAGTAAAAGAATTGTGAATATTTTACCCGATATATTTCAATAAAACTTTCGTTACAATTTTAACTTGTTCAATAATTTGACTTCCTTTTTCATTAAAATTTTTTGCATTTTCTTCCATTTTTTTTACATCCCATTTAAGAGCATTTGATCGACGATAATAACCATTGGATATACGTTCTCGAATTGTACCAAGATCAATTGGATAAGCAATAACAACTGGATACCAAGCTAGTTGAACTAAGAAACAAAACAAAAAGATTTTTCAATTAGAAAATATATTGCTTATATTAGTAAACAAATAGATCATGAGAATATTTCTTGAAATGATGAGATTATTGCATTCTATAATGAATATTTTAAATTTCTTTTTTTTTTGATTTTGATTAATCGGCATACACGATATTTGTTTTTTAAGGAAGACTTAATCAACTTTTGTTTGGTTACATGGGCAGTTAGATGAAACAGAACTAATTAGTTTGAAATTATAAAAAGATTTTTGTAGAAAATAAAAATTAATCTTTGCTCATTACTTTTCAATCTCGATATATGTATATATTAACACTAATATCTATGATTAGATTTAGTAACTATAACTTAAGATCTAATCAAATACGATGTTCTATTAAAAATTATTTTCTATAATGAATTTATTTTTTATTATGACTTTGAAAATGAAAAAAGTCATCTAAAGCATCTATTTTAAATTGATCTCTGGAATTCTTTAATCTTTTCTTGCCTTTAGATAAACCTGACGGTGTGGAAGGATAATATGTTAAATAAGATTCATCTTATGACTCCTCATATATATATATATATAGAAAAAGTTTAAACCAAACTCGTCAAGCACCAATATATGTATATTCAATGTGTAATGCATTTGTCATCAGTTTTTATTTTAATTTCTATGTGAAGTATTTACCCGGTGCTCGAAATTGTTCAGTTACATCCATTTGCATAAGTGTATCGATTCCTTTTAATAAACGTTCACGTTCATTATCAACACCATGTAATGGCCATTCATCTGCTGCTGGTTGATAAGATGGCATTTTCATGAGGTTTGATTCACAAGCTACACATAAAGAACAAAAAAATTTTCAATATTGGATTTCAATAAAGATTATCATACATGAATCATCACATTCGAAAATATCCCATGGACTCAGTCGTTCTTCATTTTCACCATTATCCCATCGAATAATATAACATTGAAAAGGACTATTTTCATGACGAAGATCAAATGGTTCACGTTTAACAATTGTTCCTGGCCACCATGTATCATCAATAAAACATCGAAAATGATCACCTAATAAAATAAATAAATCTTTAAAATCTCTAGAAAATATAAAATTTTTTAATACCAGTTTTCCATTCTCGCTGTAAAGCGTGATCATAATGTTGTTTTAATATAATAAAATCAGCAATACCATCAACATCATGAAATCTATACAGAAAGCAATTTTTTTTTCATTGAATTTTTCAGATTTCTATATTTTTGTTTTCTAATACTTACTTAACACTTATTCTTCGTGATGTGGCTTCAAGTGTATCAGGATTTAATAATTGAAGTCGAACATTAATTACACGCGGTGGTTGTTTATCAGAAAAACTTACAGATACACCAATTACTGTAGCACATTCAACAGCCTTTAAAAAAGAAAATAAACATAGCCATTTTTACTACCAAATGCTAAAACATGATTCTCAAAAGTCTGAAGGAAATATCGTATTTCCAGTCCTTATGTTCGATCAAATACTGCAAAAATATGAACAACACCTATAGAATAAATGCATTTTTGTCAATCGTTAGAATCTCATGTTAAACTGCATTAAATCTAAGACATAATTGCAAAGATAACATAGTTTTCTTATTAGGAATGTAGTTCCTACATGATCAATTTGTTTTGCTCTATCGGATGTTGAAATCAAAAATCATGAAACCTTGGTTTTTCTATTTCATGGATTCTTACTGAGTAAAAACATTTGATCACGGTTGATGTAAACAATCTACAGGAATTATACTCTTAATAAGAGAAAACCACTATCATCTTTGACATCATATTCTAAGAATTGATGCGTTCTTACTAAGACATCAAAAAAAATGCATTTCGATTTACTGAAACAACAATGAGTACGGAAGTTTGTTTATTATAAGATATTAAAACTGTTTGAATGATAATAGATTTTTATGAATTCAACAATGATTGGTGATTTATGTCCTATCGATATCAAATGATTTTATAATTTCAAGAATCCTTTCATAGTATAAACAACACTGATTTAGTCTAGGAAAATTATTTCTGTTTCTGTATTTATTCTATGATATGTTTTATAAATCGATGAATATTTTCGAAGGATAATGAAATGAGTCCAGTACTCACATCAAGTGATTCACATTTATTCCATGGTAAAGTTTTTTCATCAATTTCATACATTTTTTTATCTTTAACTTCATTAATATATAATTCATGACCTTGTATAAAATACATAACAATATCACCGATTTGTGGTATATATGGTGAACATTTTGCAATTGTACGTGTTAACCAATCTGGTGGTTTAAAATCTGGTGAATAATTTAATTCAAGTTCATGTTTATTTTCAAATTCTTCTTTTTTAGTTTTAACTTGTTCACGTCGTTTTTTTAAACGTTTTAATTTATTTCGTCGACGATGTTGTGTTTTAGCTTCTTGTACTTGACGATTTTCATGTTCACGTTTATCTTTATCATCATCGTCATCATCATCATCTTCATCAGGTGATAAATTTCGATGTCTTTGTATACGTCTTTGTTGTCCTGTACGTGTCACTATACCAGTGGTTCGTGTTGTTGTTACAACAAGATCTTCATCTGTTGATACACTATCATCATCACCACCACCACTCATTTCACTAGAAAAGAAATTTTCGTTTCTTTTTTGTATGTTCATTTTATTATTTTTTATCATTTTGTTTTTGTTTTACCTATCACCAAGTGGTACAGTTGCATTTGGTGAATATTGATCATCGGATAGATCAGTTTTATCATCCTTATCAGAATCATATAATGCTCGAGTTGTCAGACGATTAATTGCAACTTCAACATTATGTGGAACTTTTTTAAGAAGTTCTTCTTGACGCATTTTAACAACATTACGTGTTGTACGTTTCTTTATTGGTGATGAATTATACTAAAGAATAAATTATTCAATAAACGATTCAATATTCATTTACTATGCAAACAGATAATACATTGATTAGTTGATGTCTACTAAGAAAATAAAGATGGATTGGAATACTGTTTAATGGTTTTCCTCATGAAAGTTTCAAGTAGAGATGTGCGGAGCAGAGCTATTTTGGTCTCGGTAACTTATTTTGTCACTAGTTCTTGTCTAGAGAAAACCATAGGTTTGACTATAATCTTTCATTCCGGTCAGGACAATTTTTTTCTCATAGTCCGTGTTCCATACAGCTCTAGTTTTAATAGATGCTGAGTAATTTTCTAACGAAGATGAATCATGAATAAAACTGCTTATGTATCCTGTCCCTAATAAATAATGAAATTTGATAAATCCACAGTTTTTATATGTATTATAAATATACTTTAGTTTAGATATGAGAAAGACGTATTATATAAAATATGTCGTAGAGATAAGAAGGCGATTTATGTTGGAATAAAGATTACAATATCAATGCTTTGTTTAGAAAAAAATAATTATTGATTTTTGTCTTGTTTTTGAAAAATATCTTACCAAATCTCTATGATCAGCTTTTTTCAAATATTCTCTTTCATAAGTAATTCGTTCATCATCATATCTAGCATCTCGAATACTTTCACTATGTCTAAACAAAAAAAAAAAGAATTCTTAATGATAATATTCAATAAAATCAATATATTCTTACTCTAGTTCGGATTCACTCAATGGTGGTATCAAATTTCTATGATAAACAAATGTTTGTTTTTTTTTCGATATTTAATCTAAATGTTGATATATCAATTGTTTCTAAATATATATATATATAAATAAAATATTAATTAATCAATAAAAATCTTTTTGTTTACCAAATTTTCTTGTCATAAATGTACTTGTCATTGCTGGAGTTGTCATTGGTTCAGCAATAATAAGATCTAAATAAAACAACAAAATTATTTTCTATTGTTTTTAAACATTATTAAATACAAATAATAATATTACCTTCTAAATATTCATGATTAACAACTGTAGCTGTATTATCATTTTGTGAATAATTTTCTCTTCCTGGTACATGTCTTTGTATATCATATGAATAAGCATGCCCATGATCATCAATAAGATATGGTGGTGGTAATAAATGTGGTGGAATATGTTGTTGTTCATCAAGTACATTATCATTGCTATCACGAGTTAATGGGCGTAAATCATTATGAAAAAATTGTTCGATTTGAGTTTGATTATATCGTGTATCAGTACCAAGACCAAAAAAACATATTTGACCACAAAGATCTGTTGTACATATAACATCACAATGAGGAGACCATTTTGCTTCTGAATATGGTATTGAACATGGAATATCAATATATTGCTTGAAAAGAAAAACAACAAAAAAAAAATTAAATAAAAAAAAAAGAAAAAACAGTAAATGAAATGTATTACATCATTAAGAAAAAACTTTATAACTCGACCATCAATCATATCCCAAATAACTAATAATCCATCATGTCCTGCAGAACATAATAAACGTTCATTTGTTGGATGACATTCAAGTACGAAAACGGTTTTCTCATGTTTCTATAAAATGAAAAAGTTTTTTATTTTGTGAAAAATAAATCTATTCGTTTTTTTTTCTGAAATTTACTTTAAGTTCGTTAAGTAATGTTCCTTGATTAGGTTCCCAAACTTTGATAAGACCATTCTCATATGCAGTAGCAACATGTCGATCAGTACAGGACCATGAAACAATTGTGACAGGAATTATTTTATTACTTACGCTTGTTGAATGATTATTTGAATCATTATTACTAAATAAAAATTAAATTATTTTTTATGATTAATTCTTTAAGAAACTTAAGTACTTTTCATTATAATAGAACATTAAATGAAGAAGAATCTCATACGATTTCAAATCTCTTATGAATAGAAAATAGGTTTCATCGATAAAAAAATGATTTGTTCTTTTTCAAATGTCTTTTCCTCCTATTGTTTTTTTCTCGAAAAATCATTTCAATAAAAATTACTTCGATATCTGTTAAATACATCATCATATTTCTTCAGAAATATAGCATAATTTTTTTTCGAAAAATTCTTAACTGTCATAAAAAAAAAACAAAATGTTCAATTACTTTTTATCCGCATCATCATAGTAATTAAGAACAATAGCTCTCCATGATTGTTGTTCATAACGCCAAATACGAGCGGTACCATCTTTACTACCAGAAATAAATGAATTACTTAAATGTGAATAACATATTGTTTCAACAACACTCTATAAAAAAAAATTTTGTTTATAAAAAAATAAAAGGAATTAAATTTTTAATTTACTGTATGTCGATCTAGTTCACAAATTTTTAATGGTGAATAAGTATGAAATGAATAAACTCGAATAACAGAATCACTACTGCCAGCAGCCACAAAATAACCACCTAAAATTAAAATGTTGCTTTTTTTTATATAAATAATACAATTTGGACAAAAACATCACATACCTGGACTAAATGATAAACAAAGCATTTGTGCACCGGCGCGACTTTTTTCAACAAATTTGATTGGTCGAGGTCTAAAAATTTTATAAAAAATTCCTATTTTCAAGAACAAACTTTTTTTTTTATATATCTGAAATTTTAACTATAATCATCAAATCATTGTAGAATATGATGCATACTAGAATAATACTCTTTCTATGAATAAGAAGATCTAATCATTTTTCTTCTTCATAGAGTACACTGTAAAATATGATTGAAAAACAGATGGAAAGTAATAGATAGGAGAAGTAAAACATTAAATTATAAATATACAAGCAACGTTAATCGGTTCTTAAACCTTAAAACTCTCTGGCTCATTCGAATCATCATTTGCAGAACGATTGCAATAAAAAAGGAAGCAGGTAGATGATAGCCACTAAAATAACCAAATGAGAGTGCATCTGATCGATCTGCCCGTCGAATTGGTCCGAAAATTTTAAATCTTATATGCTCTACTATCAGTACTAGAGATATATCAGAGACATCAATATTCTATTCCAGTGTCTTATCCAGAGGGGTGCCCGGGGAGGGGAGGCACCGCCCGAAAATCGAGTTCGCCTCTCCCCTAGACTCGCGATCATTGCGCGACGAACTATATGGCTTGCCCTCCCGAAAAAATTTTTCGCCCTCCCGGAATTTCAAATTGCCCCTCCGGAGAAAAAAACCTGGATAAAACACTGTTCTATTCCTATGGTTTTTTCATCAGTGAATCTACTGTTCATTTTAATGTTATATGACAGATCGAATGTAAGAACAATATTTTTCTGCTAAAACAAAGTTTTCATAGTTCTTTCTCGAACTCAAATTGAAATTTAATTGCTTTGATATTTTTCTAACTAAACAGATCAAAGAAAAATAAAGAAAACTATATCTTTACTCGAAATCTGTTGTTCCAATACGATATTTCCAAAAACAAATACTTCCATCATGTCCAACAGATGCTAACCATCGATCATCTGTTTTACAAAATGGTGAAAACTGAAAAAAAAAGAGAAATTTTCTTAGATAAATATTCAAATGAAAAATTTCAATAGTAAAATATACTTTTGTTGCATTAATTCCACTTTGATGTCCATGTAGAACACATTCCATTTTAGTTGTTTTTAAATTCCAAACTCGCACTTTTTTATCAAGACTTGCACTAGCAACAAGTGTATTTTCAAAATTAATATCAATATCACAAATTTCTTTTGAATGACCACGAAATGTTGCTAATAAACGGCCTGTACGTACATGCCACATTTTAAGAAGAAAATCATCAGCACCCTAAATTTCAAAAAAAAAAAAGAATTTTATTTATTTCATTATTTTAATTTTTTAAATCTTACGGATAATGCATAAGTTCCTGTACGATCAAATGCAATACAATAAACGGATGCTTTATGAGCAATAACTTTCAATCTCATATTCATTCGTTGATATAGATCACTTGATGGTAAGTGTTTAACAGATAATGTTCGACCAAAATATTCTCGTTCACGTAAAAGTATTTCTATTTAAATGTTTTTTTTCTTAATGAACAAAAAAATTACTTATCAAGATTTATCTTACGCATATTATGATTTGTTGGATTTGATAAATATTTACATGGATGATATGCTGTTGTAAACATATTATATTTACGATCTAAGATTAAAACAAAAACAAAAATAAATAAATAAATAAATATTCGATATTTTCTTTATTTGTTATTAGAAACATACTGGATGATTTTTTTTGTTTATTTTCAAGAAAACAAGTTGGATCCATTTGAAGAAGAAATGTTGATAATGAACCAAAACGTTTACCAATTCCTTGTTCAACATAAGACATAACATTTTCTAATAAATGTAATAAATGATCATCGGGAACATAAGAATATTGTTGTTCCTAGATTTTGAATAAGAAAAATTTGATGAAAATGATTATATTTTTATTTAATTTACTAATTCTGAAAACAATATTTGGCGTTCAACACCATTCCAATTGCGTGTAGACGGCAAAAGCTAAAAGAGAAAAGAAAAAGCGAATTTATATTCATTATAATATCATTGAAATAAAAACGACTTACATTATTTTGTTCAAGTGTTTGTATAAAATCCTACAAAATAAAATTGAAATGAATAAATAAACTCTAATAGACTTTCTTACATTAGCAAGATTTTTATTTGGTAATCCACGAAGATATTTAGCAATAAGAAAATTTAAGCCCGGAGATGAAGCCATATTAGTAAAAAGTTTTTACATGTTGATCAGTGAGTTTCTTTCGTTTTGCATAGGAAAAGTGGTGATAGAGTAATATGACCTAACTTATGTTGGATTGGATAGGTCATTAGAAAAGTATTAACTAATGAAAATGATACGAATACATTTTTAACCAATAAGTTTTTAATTATTATATAATTAAAGAAATTTACATGAATTATCAATACAGATATGAGTAATTGATATAAATTTGTTGTTTTTAGTTGATGAAAAATATTTGATAGGTGACTATATACTACAGCCATCTATAGGACTATGAGGAAACATCTGATGTCGACCGATCGCTATGGTCATGGTACATGGATGGAGCTCTGAGGAAGCTCTTTTTTATATGCAGCTTTCAGTTGATTAAAGGTGTGAGAAAAATGTTTCCTTTTTAGTAGTATCAATATTTTTCTGATGAAAAGGCGACAAAAGATATTTTTGCATAATGTCGGGTGAATTTTATTATTCAATATCGAATCAATAAGAGTACTACAAATAGTGTATGCCATTCTATTTGAATTAATATCTCATATCAGAGTATTTTGTTTTTTTTGTGTGTGAAATATATAGAATAAGAGCAGATGGACATTGTTTTACAGTTTGTTTCGCGCATTGTAGTCAATATAACTTTATTTGTATCTCACCAAGTTTTTCAAAAATAATGAATTTGTACATAGTACATGTCACAGCTTTACTTCCTCTCTGAGGAATAAAAATTCATTCAAATTTAAGTTCTAACCTCGTTTTATGGACAGTTTAATTTAATGGCAGAAAACTTCAATTTAAATCTTGAACTCTTTTAGGTATAAATCTAGTTTTACATTGAAAGACTTTTTTGGGAGAACGATGATCCAGATGTAATAGGAACTCCTCCGTAATTCATTTATTCTTCGAAAAATTTGAACAATAATTAAGATATTTACATTATAATATGTATAGTTTCCAGAATTTTGAACATAAAATCATAGAACACGGTGACCAATCCTATTTCTGAACTCTAAAACCTTATGATTTGCTTCTTAAGTCTGAATATTCGGCTTGGCTTTCCAAATTCTTCTTGGATCAAACATTATGAAAACCTATTGACTAACACAGAAGCATTTATTGTAATGAAAAGTATCTCATAGGTTTTTTACTAGATGCACGTATTTTTATTAACGATTTTTCTATCACAATTCTAGAAGATAAAATAAGGATGATGAAGAATTGTGTCTCAAAATAGATAAAAAGAAATAGTTTGCGTGTAAGTAACAACACATACCTACATTGTGGTTCACATTTGAATCAGAAATGGAATGTGCTAACAGCTATTTTACCCACAAGAACACCATAGAAATATATTCTATAACGTCCAGTGACGAGGGCAAGAAATGAGCGCGTAATCAACACCCATGAAGATACTATGTAGTCGACTCTTCTTTAATAGGAACCACCTACAATATATACTAGTCACTAGACTTTACAAAAATACGGAAAAAATAAATACACGTGTGATGACTTGACAGACTAAATGCTAGATACTCTTGCTTTCAATGAATTAGGATATATTTTATTATTGAATCAATCGCTAGATTCTTTTTCGAAATAAACATATTTTTGATTTAAGACGGCAACCATGTTAATAAATAAACAAAGATTTTATTTACTTGGACAGATACTAACAATTCATCCTAAATCAGAAATTCTATTCAATCGATCATTCGTATGAAAGCAAACTTTATTTGAATACTGAATGATTATTATAGTAATCAATTTTCTTAGTTATGAATTTTTTATTTATAGAATCATCTTGTTCAGATAGAATTCAACAACTTTCCATTCTGTGTGCTGCATGGTTCCTTTTTACTCACACTGTTGAGTGTTGATAAGAAAAGTGCACGAGGCAGACATTTGAAGAAAAAAATAATCAATGTAAACACACATTTACAAAAAAATACAAAGGTTAAGTTATTGAAGATGCAATAAACAAACATATGAAGTTTACAAGCTTTCATCAACATAGACTGAATATATATTTGTTAATTTATATTAATTGATAACGAAGAAAAAAAATATGATGTTTTGATTGTGACAATCTAACAGAAAGTTCGTCATTTTTTGTATAAGAGTGGTGAATTTGAATCATCTTAATGTTAATTTTCAAATTCTCTCTTAAGTTGAGCAATCTATTTTTTTTGTAAAATTTTTCACATGTGACCCAAGTTTTTCTATATCGAACAGTAATTTGTTATTCAAAGCCATCAGATTTTTAATTTGAATATCATGCTACCAAAGCGCTTGGTTTTAATCGCGTATTTTGCCGTACAATATTTCAATGTTGTTATCATCATGGTCAGATTTTTTATTCTAAAAGAGAAAATAAAATCATGGTCACTGCTTGCTGTGTAATGACCTTACTTTGATAGCAATACTTCATAGTACATAAAACGGTATTACATGATTAGTGTGAGGGCCTATTAAATTTTAAAAAAATTCAAGGAGCTTTCAGGAACTATACCTTTTCAAAACATATAAAGAAAAGAAAAGAAAGCAGATTGAGATCTAAGATTCCTGGATTTGACTTATCATGCAACCACATATATTATAATATAATAGGACATTATGGTTATCAGTAATTGAAACTGAATTATGTGGATTGGTTAGATAAAGACTGAGTACTTTTCTTTCCTTTTATTTTCTTTGAAGAAATATACGATAAAGGGTTGTAAAGAATCGAACACAATTGAGTGAACATATAGTTGTTGTATGAATACAGAGGTGTTGCGAAGTCGTCAACATTGGAGGAAGAATCAAGTATTTTTCTAAGACTAGATGAGCAAAAAGAGGAATAAAGCGCTAGAACTTTGTTGGAGAAAAACAAAAATTTCTCAAGATTGAAGGGCGTGGTGTGACACTCCTCTATCCTTCTTCTCGCTTGGGACACCTTTGTATTGGTATAGATGTGTTGTATACGCCTATACAACGAATGATGTACTTTTCAAGGTCTAGAAACAACGAACTTGTTTTTTATATTGTCCCTCACTATCACCTTGAGACAAGTTTTGCATATTCTCACTGTATGTATATATACGTAACAAGTTAATATAATACAGTTTTTGAAGCAAGATTATGTTAAATAATACTTGTAGATTATTTTACAGTTTATAATCAAATATGATTGTTCAAAATTTGATTATAATTTATTATTTTTTCTTGATAATTAACTTATTAATACGTGTACTCAATAAAATGACGAAAACTATAAAGATATCAATGGTTGCTTTCTTTGTCTTTGTAATAAATTTATTCTAGGATTTCTTTTATTTTATATTCGTATACATAGTAAAGGATATAGGTATAAGAATCAATAGCAGATGTTTGATGACGCCTGTATAATAAAATACTTATTTATATTCATTTGATATGTGAATATGAATACCGAAAAAAAAAGGGTGGTGAAGACAGAAACATTGTATAATGTTTTATATGATTAAATTTATTCTTTTTCTTTCTTATTATCTTAAAATTTACTCAGGTCTATTGTGCAGGTAAGAGTAGTAACAAAAAAAATCGAAAAAGAAAAAAGTCAATCTATGAATATTTCATATCACTATAGAGATTGAAATAAATATCAATGTGAAATTAAGTAATGTCGGACAATCATGAAATACTTCAACATCTCAAATTATTAGTGTCATTGTTAAAAATGAACAAAATAATTTGAAGATCATTTAACTAATGATATTACAGTGACTCCTATTGTTGTTATATCAACACTATCAACTTTCTCTAAAATTACAATAGATACATCTATGCAAAATAAATTTTCGAATTCATGGTCAAAAAATTCAAAAGATAAATCCTCTAACACAACTGAATTTTCTTCTTAGCAAACTGCTGTTACAGACTCACGGTCAATACAACAGTATTTCTTATTTGGAAGTCGAATTTCACGAGGTCATGATTAAAAAATGAAGCGAATTCAACAATAGATAAACCATAGAATAACACTAACGCAACGAATCCGTAATGTTTAGACTGATCATTTCAATTACCAATTAATTCTGGACTCATTGGAAATAACACTTTTCTAAAAAATACTTTAGTCAATTTTGAAAAATAATATTATCATTATTATTTTCTGTACAAAATCACATAATAACATAAATAAAGAAATTGGTGGGTTAAGCAAAGAGAAAAAAGAAAATACACTTTGTATCAAATTAATAGAAAAAAAAGAAGAAGAAGGAAATTTTACATTTGGGTTGAAATAATTCCATCATTATTATTCACTTGTTGTTCTTGTTGTTGTTCATAAGGTAATTCTTCATATGATGGTAGTTTACCATCATCATTGTCTATACTAGTTATTGCTTCAGCGTATGCAGGTGGTAAATCTGGTTTAAACTGATGACGTTCAATAGTAGCTATTTGAGGTCGAACAGTAGCCGAATGACGATTAGAAAGCGATCTATTCGGAGAACGAGATTTACATAACATTAAACATATACGAAGAATACCAAGACCAAGTGCAATACCAGCTAATATTAAAGCAGCACGTTTTAAATTGTCGCTAAATGAATCCATATTAGATACTGGGCTTCTTTTTGATGTTGAATCTTGACGAAATTCTGGAAAAGTTAGCCATGGAGTTGTACGTGAACGGATTATTCGTGGTGTTGAGCTTTGAGAATATGGAGGAGGTGAAACTGAATTAGATAATGAATTATGGGGAATAAAAGTACAATTTTGACGTAGAATATTACATCGTAAACTTAGGACAGAATATTTAATAGGACCACATACTGCTTGCGTGACAAGAATGAAAAATAAGCAAATTAATTGCTTTTTTCGATGTTGATATAGCATATACATGATAAGTGTGTCTGTTTGATACGCGACCGTCGAATTTTTTTATCCTTTGTCTACTTCTTCTGCTCTTTTCTTATTCTAACTCAACGACGAACGACTTTTACTTTGTGTGTCACTATACTGATGACAACTCAGTATCATAAAGGTATCTTATATTGACTTAAAGTCGAGAAAATGAGAGAAAAGAAACAACAGCTTTAAAAAGAGTAACATATTGAAAAAAAACGAGTAGAGAGAGAGAGAAGAATAAAAAAACGACAAACGAGAATCTTCGATGAATACCATTATCAATCCTTTTAGTGAAAATGTTCTCACTTTACATTACGTAATGGTTTTTTTCGTCATCTTGACATATTTTCAATATGTGTAATGATTTATTGTTTTATCAAAAAGTATTACAATAATTAATCGATATCTAATTATACAATGAACATTTTTTCTTCTTATAAAAAATTTAAAATTTTCATGCTTATTTCGACCGCATTGTATTTGAACGACGAATTGTTTTCGAACTAGTAAATTTGTTTTTAGAACCATGATAACGTTTTGTTGTTGAAGGTATAACAGATGTTTTTTCGACTTGTTTATCATGAGAAAGTATTTGTTGTTCATCAATAACAATAGATGCAGATGGGTTTTCTTCATTTATAGTTATAATTCGTTTTAATTTTTGTTCTTGATTATTATCGATTATTTGTTCGGTGACTACGATAGGATAACATTTATACACATATATATAAACTAATCAAGAAGAAAACAAAACAAAACAAAAAAGAAAAATACTCGAAGGCATATTTTGTTCAATCACATTAGTGTTCAATTCATCATTTGAAAATTGTTTTAATGATATATCTCCATTTATCATTCGTTCATAGGCACGTTGATTATCGTCACACATGTGCAAATCATCCTCGGTTCGTAATGGACTACCAAACTTTTTTTCGAGTTTTTTTTGTGCCTAAAAATTATAAAACATAAATGATTTATCTGATCTAATCAATTTATTAATATAGATATCCAAGCATAGAAAGAAAAACAAAGTAAAAACTTTACATTGACCAATAAACTGGTTCAGCAATAAAAGCCGGTTCAAATTGTTGCCAATAGATATTTAAGGAACTTTTAACAAAATTTTCATCATTATCAAATGCATAACTAGGATAACGTCGTGTTAAACGATACCAATTCTAACGCAAACGATAATAAACATAAATATGTTATTATATTTTAGCAGAACATACTTTTTTAACATCATTTGTATAATATCTTTTTAATTGAGATAAAAATCCTGGATTCGGATGAATATAACCTCTAGCACCTTTAACAATTTGAAGAGCTTTTTCTACATCATAATCTCCAATAGTCATAACATAAGCTAAAACAATTGTTGCACTTCTTGACACTCCTGCTTGACTATAAATATGGAAAAAAACAAAAATTCACTATTAAACTCTCAAGATCTTTTCGTTTCTTTTTTTTTTTACCAATGAACAAGAATATTTTCATGTTCAATTCTTGCTTGATGAATAAATTCAATACATTTTTCAAAATATTGTGCAAGATCTTGTTCTTGTGCATCAGCTGCTGGAATATTTAATATATGTGTTGGTTTATATTCTTCTTTGTCAACAATTATATCTGGTATATCAATAACGCATAAAATACGTTTGACTTTATTTTTAACCATCAAGGCACTATTGGTTCGATCTTTTAATGAACCCAAATAGAGATGTGGTAGAACAAGTGACATTTCGCCACCCATATTAACTGGTCGTATTTTGTTGTCAACCTGGTGATGATGAGATAAAAATCATAAATAAATAAAATTGAAATAAGACTTTTTTTTTAATTATATATTTAATCGAAAAAAAAAATGATTAGTTTTTTATGCTTGTAACCAAGGAAATATCAAGTTATGTTTACATTGGGATAAATACCTTACGATCCAAATAACGTTGAGAAAACGGCATCGAATATCTTTTTGTGTTGCAGAATTCTGTCGGGAAAAACAAGAAAATAACACAGCTAGATTGTAGGATAAATCAGTACATTTTTTGGAGAGAAATAAGAAAGGTTACATTAATCTTTTTTTCTCGTTGCTTATGTCAAAGGCGACAAATAATAAAGACGAGCAGACACCGAGAAAAAACTATTAGTTTGCGTTTTATATTGAGTCTCATTGCTAACTACAACAGGATATTTCCTTGATATCTTTGCTTTAATGTACATTGACATTGTTCAAAGCTATAATACATTGTTTTTATCCAATATAGAAGCAACAAATGATAAATTGCATAACAAATTATTGTTTTTCTAATATTCTTATAAATATATTCGGTGAGAGAATATTATTTTAATTAAAAAAAAATTCATTTTGTTTCTATCATGATTTGTTTTTTTTTTTTCTTTTGAATCTTTCGTAGATATGTAAAAAGTAGACAAACAAATTACACTTAGTATACAAGAAGATTGATGTTTGACTTTTTTGTTTTTTTTTTTTTTGTCCTTTTTTTCTTCTTTTTTTTGCCGTTCGTATGTATGATCGTCGTTGTAGAACAACACAAAAAAGAAAAAGAAAATAGTATAGAAGAGAAAGAACGAGCCATGATGAAATGAAAGAGATAGAAAAAAGAGAAAGAAAAGAGGAAGATATAAGTAATCGGTCTATGCCATTGCCCATTTGTCAACAATCTACACATACACACACAAACGCAATCGAGATCCGAGCCTATTCTCACAGAGTAGCGCATAAAAGGCACATAAATACACACACACACCACACAGCTATCGGACCCTGAGATATGCAGAAGAAAAGAGAAAGAGAGGCGATTGACTAGCGAATTGTGGCCGGGCCGTCTGCTGTTGTTTTGAGAGAAGAAAGACTTGATCGACTCGTTAATACGCGTGTGTATGAATGTGCGTTGAAAGAAGATCCGTTGTTTCATCACTCTAATTAATAGAAATACAAAAAAAAAGAATAATATTAAAAAAAAGAAACAGATAGAATTATCACCTTGTGCTGGTCCGGCCAGCGAAATATTATCGCAATTATTTTGTTGTTGTTGTGGTGGTAATGCTAAAGATTTCGGATCATTCTCGATTGTTGTTATTTGTTTATCAGTATTTGATATGTTTAATGGACGGTTTTGACGATAGTGTTGATTGGATGTTGAATAAAGGCTCATACGAGGTGTTGTTATTGAACCATTTGGTGATTGTACTAATGGTCGTCCCATAAAATTTCGTTGTTGATTATTTGTTGTTGAGCCATTTGAATGAGTAAAACGTGTTTGTTGATTATTTATTATACGTGTTTGATAATCATCATGTTGACTTTGTAAATTTAATGTTGATAAATGATTTGTTACATATTGTACTGATGTTCCATTATTATTCATATTAGGTTTTCCTGTTGTTGCTGCTGCTGTCGACGTTGTTGTTGGACCATAAGTATTATATGGTACATTATTATCAAATGTTGGATAAGTTTGAACATTAGCTGCAGTTTGAGGAGGAGGAATCATAAAAGATGGTGCAGGAATAGTACCTAAATAAGCAGAATTGTTTTATACAATGATAAAAAGTTTTTTTTTTTCTTATGCAACCTGATTGAACAAATGTTGTTTGTGATGGTGGAGGCGGTTGATAAGTTGCTGGCGCAAATGGGTGTGAAACATTACCTGGTGTGCCTGTTGGATATATTCGAACAAAAGGTGGTGGTTGCGGAGCTAGATTTGACTGTGATGGTGGAACTTGTTGTTGTGGTTGTTGTTGAGAGATTGCATGATGATGGCTAGGTTGGTTTTGAGAATAGGGATGATGATGAGTATGGTTAGTGTCAACAATTGATGGTGGTGGTACGGATGGTGGACCCGGTATGGATAAAGCATCTGGTCGATAAAGCTTTTGGAAAGCAAAAAACAAAAGTAAATGACTCTTTATTATGTTACATAGCTAATAGTATTTTCAACATTTACCTGAACATATTGTCCATCAGGTGTTAATGAATAAGGATTTGTTTGTGGTGGAGGTTGTGGTTGTTGTTGTAAAGGATGAGCAGGAAATAGATATTGTATTTGCCCGGTTGGTTGTTGATGAACTAATATAGGCAATGGAATACCGGTACCATGTTGAGATGGCACTTGATTTGAAGCAGCTGTTGCTGCTGTTGGTGGTGGTTGAGGATGTAATTGTTGTGTTTGTTGTTGCTGCTGAGGATGAATAAAATTAGATGTTGCTGAAGGTATCATTGGTACATAATTATAAATATGTGCTCCACTTGCTTGTTGTTTGTAATCATAATCAACATGTGATTGTTGGGGTTGAGTATAAAAAGAAGTAGCAGCTGGTGGACGTAATGATGTTGTACCAGGGTTTGATCCTATCATTGGACCATACATTGGAGGCGGTTGAGGTATGCTGAGATTTGCCGATGGTGTTTGTTGGGTTGGATAAATAGATGGAGCTAAATAAAATAACAGATTAGAAAATAAATTCAGTTACATGGCAAATACTGAAGTATTGAGAAGACAATATTTAATTTTTAATAATTAAAATATTGGCAATGATTGGATACTGATGGATGTTTTTAGAATATGAAAGTAGAAAGATTTACTATTATCTTTTACTATTGTGATTTTCTCTATTAAATTACTTTGTTAACAATGAGAACGCTATCACTACTTTATATATATATATTGGTAAAGAAACATTGTTTTTTATTCCCTAAATATTTACTTCTAGTTGTTGAAGTATTAAGCATATGACTAGATGGATCAATTGTTTTTCCAGTTGGATACTGTTGCATATGGGTATTAGTTGTTTGTTGTGAATGTTGATATGTATAAGAACGATGTTGTTGTGAACTGTTCTGATGTTGTTGTTGTTTTCGATAAGATGGCCGAATAAAATTAGAATGTTGTTTTTGATTTGTTTTTGTATTTTTATTTGTGAAGGATGTATTTGAGAAATCTATTGTTTCATTAAATATTCTAGCACGTGTTTCAGCATAATTATTTACACGTTCTAAATATGGTTTTGTTAATGGTTGATTTTTTGTTGTTGTAGATATCTGTTGATTTGTATATTCATCATTATGACCATTTCGTTGTGAATGTTCATGATTAGGATGTTTATCATGTCGACGTAAAATACGACGGGTTTGAATTTCCGTTGGATTTGTTAATGATAGCGAATTTTCCGTTGTTGAAGCACCACTTATTGTATCAGTTGATTCATCTTCTGGAATGCATTTTTGAAATGAAAAATTAGGGCTAAAATAAAAATCAAAAGAATATTTCAGTTGTTTTAGTTTTTCAATAGATAAATTGAATTTTCATACATTCGAGTATTCGGTGTTTTAGTAACGACAACAGCTTGACCATTTTTATCAACATTATGATCAAGACCAAAAAATGCTGCAACACGATGAACAATCATTCGCTCATCTATTAAGAAAAGAAACAAAAAAAATTCATAAGAAAAAGTTTTTGTTTTTTTTTTTTTAAATATTTACATGAATTCATCGCTTGAAATTGATGCGATTTTTGTTCATCATCTTGAATAAATCCTTGAAAAACTGTTTCTAATGTTAAAAGTAATGTTCGATCTTTTGGATTATTACGTAATGTTGTTGTAATAAATGATTCGGTATCAACACCTGAAAAATCTTTATATGGAACAGTTGTACTAACATTATTATTATTATTAGATGTATTTGTATTATTAACAGTTGATCCATTATTTATTGATGTATCAATGTCATCATTTGATGATGATGATGATGATGATGAAGCGGCAGTTGTAGTCTCCGTTGTAACCGTTTTATTATTATTCACATGTCCATCTTCATCACCACCTGATGAATGACGACGATCGTCACTGTCACCAGTCTAAAAAATTTTGATAAAAAGAACACTATGATGTTTGGAAGTATATTCAAGATGAACAGAATATCATTAGTATGAACAAGGAACTAACTGTAATACTCAAATACTCCTCTCAAGCTAGAGAAATGTCTAGAAGGATATAGGAGACAAACAATAGAATCAAATCGATAAACTGAAATAACTTCTACACTAGAGAATATCCTTGAAGTATTTCTGGCGATTTGTCTGCTACATAGATACCGATTCGATATCGCATAGTAACATATATCTGATAAATTCATACTATACTCACAATCGACTTTTCGAAATCAAAATATCTAATATTCAATAGAGTAAATGTGCTTAATTAGTGTTAAAAACTTACACTTTCAGATTTCTCATCAGTTCCATCCTCAATAACATCATAATGTTCCGACGGCAAAATAATACCTATAAAAAAAGCAGAACAGATCAGATAAATATGATATCATTAATTGTTTCTTCTAACCATCATCAATATTAGCCGTTGTATTATTATTTTTATCAGGTTTTGTCAATTGTACTGCCATTGATGATGGCACACAACATGAATCAACAATTTTAGCCATTTTAAAGAAAAAAAATTTTAATTTCGTGTGTTTTTTTTAATTTAACTATTATTATTTTAAAGTATAATTTATGCAAGCACCATCAACACGGTGTATGGAAGAGATACAAAACGATGATCACATGAAATAAAATTGTAACTAAACAGAACAAACATATAAACTAAAATTTCTCTTTGTTTTTTCAATTTTTTTTTTCATGTCTACCTGTGCGTTTCGATATACTTGACTTCAAAAAAAAAAAATACTTAATAAAATGTACAAAACAACAGCTAATAGAATAAAGTGTC